CCTAAACTCTACACCCCTAAACCCCTAAACCCTCAACCCCTAAACCCTATACCCCTAAACCCCTAAACCCTAATACATTGCCAGGTACTGGCCAGGCCCAGTGCGTCCAACAAAGCGCACATGTCGCCGCAAAGCTCCTGCCACGAATGCAAGCCCGGTCATGCCGGTTCCTTTAAGGGGCTACTACACCGGATACTATAGAAGGGCTACTATAAAGGCTACATTTTTGACAAGGGTTGACATTGGAGAGGGTGGGATGGAAAGGTTCCCTCAAGGTCCGAAGGGAATTCTAAATGGTGTCTACAGGGTTTCTCTATGAGCTTCCCGTGGTTTTGTTGACTCTGGGGTTGGGTTTGGGTTTTAGGATCACCCCTGTTAACCTTCTTGAACGACTCGAGGCTTGCACTAATCATGCTCCCTCGGGGTCGGTGCTCCCTCGCTTGTCTGCGTCATTTTGCTACTCGCACGTGTGCGTAGACCACCACCACCACCACCACTACCCTACCCTAAACCCTAAACCCTAAACCCTAAACCCTAAACCCTAAACCCTAAACCCTAAACCCAACAAGAACAACGACAACGACGAGAACCAACGAGAAGAGACAACACCACCGCCGCCGCCAGCAGCAGCAGCAGCAGGAAGATGCAGCAATTCTCACAAAATGCGGCAGCAACAGCCCTATTTAGGGTTTAGGGTTTAGGGTTTAGGGTTCAGGGTTTAGGGGTTTAGGGGTTTAGGGGTTTAGGGTATAGGGTTTAGGGTTTAGGGACCATATTACTACTCCTCGTGCAGCTGCATGCCAGACACCCGCTCAGGCACGATTCTTTCTGGGGTCTCGTCAAGGAGCTGAAATCAGGTTTCAGCAGCAGGCAGGTATCATGAATGCTGTATACTACGCTTTCTCTTCTGCAGTTAGTGGCTCATTCAAGCTCCTCACCGCCTCGAAATCATTGGTAAGGCCCTCGTAACATCAAATAGAGCGTCGTGATAAATTCAACATGCTAAGCTTTCTGAAAGGGTGTTGGGCTTTGGGCTTTGGGCTTTAGGGTTTGGGGTTTAGGGATTATGGCTTTAAACCCCAACAAGGACCCCCTAAACCCTAAACCCTAAACCCCTAAACCCCAAACCCTAAACCTTAAGTGATTAGGGCTTGAACCCCCCTTGATAAGAGACACCTCCTGGCAGTATTTCGCTGCATCCACCAAGGGAGCCGAAGTCTCTCCGTAACCTGAGCTCTGCTTAGAAAGAATATAAGGGTTTAGGGTTTAGGGGTTTAGGGTTTAGGGTTTAGGTTTGTAAGCCTTACCTATAATCTCCATTGTAGTTCCTTTTTTTGGTTTAACCAATTATATATTCAGGATTTCATAAGGTATCCCCCAAAAGGAACTACAATGGGGACTATAGGTGCTTAGAAAGAGAAGGAGTGTGGGTTAAGGGTTTAGGGTTTAGGGCTTATGAGGTTTAGGGTTTCGGCTTTATACAGTTTGGGGTGAAAGGCGAATTATAAGGTTTAGGGTTTAGGGCTTACAATAGGGTTTAAGGTGTGAGGCACTTTACTGACATGAAATGTTGAGTATCATTAGGAAGCTCTGCTTGTTCGTGTTAGATCCTTAATCCCTATGATTGTACCATTAACAGGAAGTTGGACCAATTGCTGTCTAGCCCTGCACGGTAACTTAGCTTCAGCTCCGCAAACAGAACGCCCAAACCGAAACACTAAACCCGCAAGTCCTAAACCACTAAACTCTACCTACAAATCCTAAGCAAACAAGCCTTAAACCCTTAAGCTTTACCTAAACCCTAAACCTTAAACCCTAAACCCCTTAACGCTACCTAAACCCTAGCTTAAGCTCCCCCCAAGAGAGCCCAGTAGCCGCGCTGGTCTGGGACAATGACATGCCAGCCTCGGGCAAGGGGAGAGTGAGGGCTTTCCTGAACCCGACCTCTTTACTTGGAGAATCATGGGACTTAGTAAGTGAGGTTATAAGTCCCCTAATTGGGGTTCTAAGTATAGTTACCTTAGTTATAACCCTACTTACTAAAGTCCCATGATCCTTTAAGTAGGGTTTACCTGGACCCTAAACAACCTACGTTTTTAGGGCTGCTTATTGTGATTTCCCATTATAAATCCTTAAAAAAGTAGGTTCTTTAGGGTCTAGGTAGGGTTTAGGACCCTAAGAAACCTACCGTTTTCGAGTCCTGAAACAGGTAGGTGTGGGGTTAGGGTAAGCCCTAAACCGGTCTCTTCGATGCTAGGATTCAGCTTTCGGGCTTCAACCAGGGAGAGAAACCCTCGAGTTGAGGGTTTAGGGTTTAGGGTTTAGGGTTTAGGGTTTAGGGTTCAACCCTAAATCCTGAGCCATGGTAGTTCCGGTGGTTGAGGATTGAAAGCCTCTCCGCTGCATCTCAGCAGAATGTTGGCTGTTGGCCTGGTTAGCACGGAGAAGTCCAGTATCCATGAATTACATCGCAAGCCCTACTTGGAGGATCATGGGACTTAGTAAGTGAGGTTACAAGTCCCCTAATTGGGGACATAAGCATAGTTACCTTAGTTATAACCCTACTTACTAAGTCCCATGATCTTTTAAGTACAATTTTCTGAAGCGCCGTGGAACCGGAAAGACTGCACTGTCAGCTGGAGTTCATCGTTCAAGGATTCCGTGCTCGTCTTTTGGAAATCGCGAGGAACAGCAATCGCGCTGTCCCGGAGAAAAAACGGTTAAGGTTTAGGGTTTAGGGTTTAGGGGTTAGGGTTAGGGTTTAGGGTTTAGGGTTTAGGGTCAAGGCCTATTGGTAAATAGAAGCTGCGCTGTGTCCCAGGGTCCAGATCATGCCCTGCGGAGAGGGGCCGGTACTGGTGGACGGCGAGTTTCATTCGACCACCACAGCCCGGCAGCTGAGGTACTGTACGAAGATGTACGAACGAACCCTGCTTTAACTTCAAGAATCGTGCTCAGTGAAACGGCTTAATTTGCTAGTTCGGGAAAGGACCAACTTCTGGACGCTGGTCTAGGGCTGGCAGTTTAGACTCTAGCAGTAGACCCGACTAAACTACTACACTGCTTCTAACATCAAGAAACCCTAGCCCTCTGTGAAGCTAATGTAGGGCCTTGATAATTAGAATAAGGTCTTGGGGCCTATTATACTATAAGTATAATAAGGAACCCCAGATGGTATAGGTAATTATCTAGGCCCCAATAGTACGGTAGGAAGCCCCCGATCCTTCCAAGAGCCCCCCTTGCAACCTTTAAGAGGAGCCCATACTCGCGGGTGATATCTGACACTCCACCTGGCAGCTTCGGAACATACTAAGCCTAAGAACCAGTGATAAGGCTTACTTGATCTTAATTGTAGGATCGCAGAAGGGCTTGCTACAAGGACACCAAGCGATAAGCAGTCGAAGAATACCCTCATCGAACCCCCCAAAAAAACCTAGCCCGAGCCCTTAAGCTGAAACTCTAGATCCTGAACCCTTTAAACTCAAAAAGCATCGAAACCCGAAACCCCTGAAGCCTGACACCCCGACTTCAACCCCAAACCCCCGAACCCCCTAAGCTTTGGCCCAGCTGCCCTTCAAGGCTATGGCCCGAATCTGGTGCCGAAAGCCGAACCTAGATCTGGATCTGGCGTTGAGGGGTCCTTTAGAAGAGCCCTTGAAGGAACCATAGG